CTTCGCAAACACACTATCACTCAATGAATTGTATGAATGGATGCTATGGTTGTGTAATACCTCTCACAGCATACGAGTGGTTGTGTCAGTCATACAGAGGCTGTTGTATTGCAGAGAGTGTTGTGTTGCAGTGCATCTCATGTGTACACAAATAGCGAGGTATACGTCAAATGCATTGGAGGGGAGACGCTGTCTGCCAGGCATTCACACATCAACATTATAATAGCTAATGTTTTGTCCAAATATTATCTGCCACTCAATGGACTCAATGAGCGGATGAGTGATTGAGTCCACCGTTTGCGGTGACAGTCCTGTGAATGACTGCCGACTCATAGCCACCAATGAATTAAACATATGATCGCATTCACAGAGACCTATCATTCAAGCTTTCAATCCGTGTTTACGAGTGCTATATATATGTGTTAGCATTGAATTTGTCGCTAATTGTATCGATGTTTTAGTGCATAGTTTTGTGTGAAAAATGTGTGATTTGTTCGTTAATATAACTCTGTGTTCATTGTATCCATGAATTGAAATGTAGTCTTAATTGACATTTAAAGCGAGGACTCGTATCGCGATTTTGAAGCCTACCTACCATTTGGCGCTTAATATGCACTCAAATTATTTGTCAATCAATTCAGTGGTAACATACCTCTCATGACATGTATTTCCCATCAAATTATCTCTAAAATTACTTGTATCGCGATTTTGAAGCCTACCTACCATTTGGCGCTTAATATGCACTCAAATTATTTGTCAATCAATTCAGTGGTAACATACCTCTCATGACATGTATTTCCCATCAAATTATCTCTAAAATTACTCATCTTTTTGATGAATCACTCGTGAATTGAATTTTTTGTTCTTCGCATTCATCGGAAATACCAATACATCCATGGATTTAACGATTAATATAAAAACTTTTTAAATATAATTATCTAATAATTAATTTAAAAGAAATATAAGAAAAAAAACTTCACAATACGTCCACTAAAAGCAAAGTTGACTTTATTTTTCCTAAAAACAAAATAAAAGGTAATTAAATATATTTATAATTCAATTGTGTTTTTTGAGTTAAACTTTTTTCGTACACTTGTGTTCCGGTTATGGGTTTCTTATATAATAATGTTTTTATAATATAATAAATTATATGAAGATTTTTGTCTTGTTTTTTCTGTCTAACAAGTTGTGTGTCTCTCTAGTTAAACTTTTTTCGTACACTTGTGTTCCGGTTATGGGTTTCTTATATAATAATGTTTTTATAATATAATAAATTATATGAAGATTTTTGTCTTGTTTTTTCTGTCTAACAAGTTGTGTGTCTCTCTCATCTAAACCTCTTAATACACTGTTTTTAATAAGTCTTAGCCTTAAAAAAGCATTTATTTTATTTGAAAACTATGTTTAATATAAGGAATTCCGAGACAATTCCTATGATAATGACATACATTGCGGTTAATACTACTGTTGGTGTGTATTAGCTGTTGACTTATAGTCTTAAGACTGGGAACTAATCATCAAATCTAATGTTTTTTCATAATTAATTTCTAATCTCTAGCAAAGTTAGGGAACAGTTTGACTGTAATTATCAGTTATTAAACACAAAGATTAGTTGAAGATTTCCTTTGAAAACTTAATTTTCTAAAACACGTGAACTTATTTTTATCAGTAATTTGTTATTCATAAGAGTTTTTTGGTTAGTTTCTTGTTTTTATTTTTGCGGTATAAATAAGGTTTTAAAAGATTTTTATGTATTACATGTTTGCCTTATATTGAATTTATTTATGGCAAAAGTATTTCCGATTTTGTATAATGAACTAAATTTCAATTGAATTTCAATTCCTGTTATGTCTTTTTAAAAAACTTTTTATATCGCTGTTAAATGTCTTAACGTTTTTTGTTTGTATTTGATTTGAAACGCTTATAAATCATTTGTTGTATTGAAGCCAAACATTTATTTGGTATAATGTTTTGCAAACAAAACATAAACTAAATGATAATTATCGATGAGAACGATCTCTTAACTCCATTTGATGGGGTAATGGGCTGTTGTTGTATGTGTTTGGCTCCCATCGCTCACCAACCACTTGCATCCCAGTGCCAAACGTCCCGCAAACTCTTAACACAATTGTTGACCTCATAATAGGTTGAGATCAGAGCCCATACCATAAGTGGGTTTGGAATTTGGTTTCCAACAAGTAATGAGGAAATGGTGTCATTTCTATACCACAACTCG